TGTCTGCCCAATTGTGGAAGAGATATTGAAAGCTGCCCACTGAACAGAAGACAGCTCCATACAGATGGCAAATAGAACACAATTTGCTTGGCAATGCAGGACAATTACCAAGGATGTTGTAAGTCTCAGCTTTTCCCTGGACCCTTTCTGAGCAAATGTAGAGTCAGTGATTTCACAATTTTTCAGCACTGACATTATGCCAATGGATTTTGCTACCAAAAGAGTGTCAGGTTTTTTAACTCTGTAAACTCAAGAATCCCTCAGACATTTTCCACTCCCAAGATGCCACCAGCAGGTGCTAAATAGACCAGAACAAAGACAGCAAATAAAGATATAACCAGTCCCTTCAAGAATTTGACTTATTTTCAGTGTTTCCTTGATTTGCTTACTACTTCAGTGGGGTTTTTTTTCCCTCAGAGGAAATTTCAGGATTGAATTTGTCCTCCTGCCCGCTGTATTCTTCATCTATGTGAGTGTTTAGAAAGGAAAATTGAAATGTAAATTGACTCAGTGCTTTTAAAACCTTAAAAAAATAATAATTCAGTGCCTGCTCTATGAGATGGAGCTCTCCTGGCTGCTCTAACCTGCCGAGCAGGTTAGCATAACATGAAATCAATTATTGTACTCACCATATAAAAGCTGTCAGGTTTAATACTTAACTGCAGGATCTCCCCTGAATGTTTGATTTCCAATCATCATCCCTGTGAAGCTCCAGAAATACAGGGACGTAAGGAAGATTCTGGGCTAAGAAATTTATTGGGCTACCCTGAGTTATAAAAGAGAAATTGGGAAAGAATAATTCAGCCTGCAAACATGGCCCCCTTTTTAATCAAACACTTCCCAGCCCCATAAAACAAAACAGAGAACAAGCTGCAAAATAAATACTGAATTTCTAGTTTGGATTGTAACAATTGTGACACCATTTCACTTATTTTTCAGCTTGTCTGGATCAGCTTTTGTTGGAATATTATTCCCATTATTTTCTGTCCTTTTCTTTGAATTTCTTGGGCTGTTTTGGATTTTGGTTTTTGTGGACTTTTTGGCATTGTTGGTTGGTTTTTTTTACATTTGTGTTTGGTTGTTTTTTTTGTTTTTCTGGTTGTTTTTTGTCTGGTTGGGGTTTTCTGGGGTTTGTTTGGTTTTGGAGTGCTTTTTTGTGTGTTTACTTTTTTGTTTTTTGGGTTTTTCAGAAAATATCATGGCTACAGGAAAGGAGTGAAAATTGGGACTCTGACTCCTTCCTGCTGTGTTTCTGTAGGGAGGGGGAAGGTTTGGACTCCTGGGAAGGCTGAGAATGCAGAAATGGAGGGAGAGCACACAGGGAATGGCTTTAAAGTGCCACAGGGCAGGGTTAGGTGGGATGTAAAGAAGGAATTCCTCCCTGTGAGAGGGTGGGGAGGGGCTGGAATTCCCAGCTGTGGATGCTCCTGGATCCCTGGCAGTGCCCAAGGCCAGGTTGGACATTGGGGTTTGGAGCAGCCTGGGGCACTGGGAGGTGTCCCTGCCATGGCAGGGGTGGCACTGGGTGGGATTCAGGGTCCCTCCCAACCCAAACCATGGCACTGGATGGGATTTAGGGTCCTGCCCAACCCAAACAATCCTGGAATTCTTTCACTCAGACCAAACTCACCTTGGAGCTGTGTCCTTCCCACTGAGCCCCCACCAAGCCCAAGAACCAGGGAAGGTTTCTCTGAGCTGCTCCTTTGCAATTGTGTATTTAAATTACCCCAAAAGCAAATCCCAAAGCATCTGTAGGGTCTGGTTTGAAGCTCTGTCACCTCCCAGCTCTGGGGGATTGCTTGCAGCAGCAGAAACATTGCCTGCCCATGGTCCATAACTGCTTGGAACAAAGAGCTATAAAAGCAGGGAGCAGGAGACAGATTTATCTCAGTGTATTTCAAGAAATGATGATCCTGAATTGATTCCTTCTCTGAAATACAAACTCCATGTTTAGCTCTTCTGAAAAAGGGGGAAAGAAAGGAAAACCATAAAATAAACCAGGATTTATCCTCAAGATCAACTCTTATTCTCTTTCAGAAATTACATTCTAGACAATAAGTAATCATTATGTGCCAACAGAGCTGAGAATCTGATTTTAACTTTCAGGTAACATATTAGGGCCATAACCAAATCTGAGAACTATTATCATAGCCAAATGACTGTAATGCTTCAAGGCTGTAACAGTCATCACCTTTTTATCATTCAGATTACCAGCCAAGCCTGAAACAATGAATTTCTTTAACATTATTCTCCCATAACCTTTAACTGTATGCATTATTTCAAACATCTGAAATAATCCTTTATATGACACAGTAGAATAATACTTTTGCCACTCACTGCACACTGGAATTTGTTAAGCCCAGAGCAGAGCAAAATCTCCAGTCTGCTCTGTCTGCCATGGAAATACATTCATTTCAATTGTGCTGGAATGGTGTTTAAGTGATAAATAATTTGAAGGAACACTGATAGGAAGCATAAGGTTCATAAAAGTCCAGAAATGCTGCAGCAGTTTTATCACCATTATAAAAGTGTCCTGCTTGCCTTGTTTTGGGAGGGCTTTACTTGGCCAGCTCTCACATATTTCACGTGGAATGTACAGCATAAATATTCCATGGGTTCATTACAGAGCTGTGTTTGTGATAAACCTTCCCAGAGCCCTTTCAGGAAATGTTTATTCCTGTTCTGTCAAGTGGGTGCTAATGCCCCAGGCCAGCTCTCTCCACAGGCCATGCTGATAAATAATCCTGTGTATGCTCTGCTGGTTCTGTGCATAAACTCCCCTCTGCCTGAGTTACTGCAGCTCCAGGCCCTGCATGAATCAGATTTATAAACACAACACCGTGTTTCTTACCTGTGTTCAGGTGTATTATGATGGCAGAACTGGCATTTATCTGCACTCTTGGTATAAAAACGTTTCCAGCCACACAAGCAGTGCATGAAAATAGAAAAGCAACTGCAGGAAATATTGGCAGGGAGAGGGAAAACATCTCAGGAATCCTTGAGGCTGCTCAGTGCAGAACACTTTGGATCAGCCCCTTGGAGATCAGCCCTCTAAAATAGCAAGTTTGGAGAATTCAAATGTGTCTTCTTCAGTGTCCTCAGGAAAACTGAACATCTCAGAAAGGTCTCAGCAATTCAGAGAAGCAGCTTTTTCACTTATGTTCAACTACTTCCAAAATCTTGAAAATGTAAGCTTAGAAAATCTGAATTTATTGAAATATTTCTGAACTGCTTTAAGGAGAAGGGATTCAATACAAAGGATTCAGGCTCTGGATAGGGAACAATTATTCTTGTGCTGAACAAGCAAAAAGGGGTTGGAATTTAGGTCCAATTCTCCTGTGATTTCTTGTGTGACCTTTCACAAGCCACACATGGTCACAAAGTGATTTCCACTGGCTTCAGTGGAGGAGAGAATCAGCTCCTAATTTCTCTTTGAATCAGTTTTCTCATTAGTGAATTACCGACCTCAGAGCTTAATGCTTCCAATGCTCTTTGGTATCCTTGCAGGGGCAGTGATACTGGGATGTTAACTGTCCTCACTGCCAGCAGCCAGGCAGCAGAAAATCCAGATTAATAGGGGCACTTCGGTGCCATGGCCACCACGTGGACCCCAGAAGAACAAGGCAAGAGTCAAAAATATCAATTTAAACATTTCAGCTCAAGAGAACGCTGCTTCCTCAGCAGGTACCTGGAATTTCCTGCAGGTTTTGCTGTGTTTTAGGGCAGATTTTCATTTGCTGTCAGCTCAGCACTCCACTAAAGCACTTCTTTTCATTCACAGAGTTAATCAGCAAGTTCACACCACCTGGAATGGAAATTTCTAGAGATGAATATTCTCCTTGCTCCAGGACTTGAGGGCTGACAATATTTGCACAGAGCTACAAACTCCAAGCTCAAGGAGAAGTAAAAGTTGTTCATGCTGGCAATGCTCAGCCTCACCTGGCAGGAAAAGGTGACCATTCCAGGGGAGAAGAAACCAAAGACTGACAGCAAATTTGCTGGTAAGTATTTAAAAAAAAAAGGTCAGTCCTGAACATTAAAGAGGGCCAGCAGGAAATTATTAAATCTGAGTGATAACGTGGGTTTATTTTAATTTGCTCGCCTGGATTTTCATTGACAATGGATTGTGGAAAATAAAATGAACTCCATAAAAATGTGGAGTTGCAGCAGGACTTAGAAAATGACTGTAATAACCCAGCCAGATTTCCCACCCCTTTCTCTTGGATTAATTTTTATCTGTATTACTTTCATCACCAGAAGAAAAACTTTTACAGAGTTTAAGTGCCACCTGCTAGACCCCCTGGAGGATTTCAATAATTTTAACTGTGGGTTTTTTAATTTTTCAGTAATAAATATTTCAATATTTTCAGTATTTCAATTATTTTCATATTTCAATTAAGGGACTGAAAGCCTCAGCTCAGACGCCACCAAGCCCTGGAGTCACTGGGTGCTACATGGCCATGTAGATGAGCCTGAGCCATTACAAGAGTGCCCCAGCTGTGATTCCTGAGGGATCCAACCCATGGATTCATGGGAGGGTGGAATTCCTTCCTGCATGGACCAGGTCACCATCAGCTTCTTGGGGATCTTTCAAAGTTATTAAATTTCCATGAATTCAGCTGCCACAAAGTCTTCATAAACTCATTGAAGTAGGGGTGAAATAAGATTTTATTCTTTCCCAAGGTAGCTGCTTGAACCTTCAGTCCCTGTGAGAATCAGAAAAGTTGAGGCTGAAAAGACCTTCAAGAGCCTCGAGTCCAAGCCAAGGGATTGTGCCTTTTCAGTAAATTAAAAAAGAAACATCCATCTCTGCTGCAGAGCATCACCTGGCACGCCTGCTGATTTATTTAACTAATTTTTCATCCCATAATTCTTCCAATCTGTGTTGAAACCACCTCATCCTGCATTTCTGTGCTGAAGGTTACCAAGCTGGCAGAGCTGCGTCCTTCTGATGACAGATCTCTCTGACGCTCTGTTTACCTGCCCTTCATCTGCTCCAAGGCTAACTCAGGTGGGTTTTTTATTCTCATCCCCCAGGAATTCAGGAATGCCCCACCCAAGCAGGAGGATTTGTTGATGCTAATCAATCCTCTCCCTTATGTGGTTTTAACTCCTGAGCTGGTGGTGCTGTCAGAACAGCTCTGATTGAGTAATTCAATAATTGGTCATGGGAACCACCTCAGGCTGGTTCCAGTGGTCACCAGCACCTGCTCAGCCTCACTCTTTGCTGTCCCAACAACGGCTCTGGATCCATTCCCAGCCCCAGGGGGCACCAAAGGAGGGCAGAAACTTTCTCAGGTTATTGGAAAAGCCACACATTTCCCAAAGAGCGCTGTGCTGAATTAAAGCTTGTCCAAACTCCTCACCCTGGTCATATTTCTTGCCCATCACAGCGGATGTGTCAGCTGTTGTTTCACCACCTGTTAATCCGTCTGTGCTCGGGCTGTACATGTGATTTATGAAGGTTCCTGTATCTCACTTGTTGCCTGCATGCGACCAGTGCAGATATTTTTTCACCATTCTTGGTTTTTTTTCATGCTACATCCACCGATTAGTCACAATTTTAGGACAGAGAAATACGGAAATTTTTCTTTCCACAACATTCATTGAAGTTTTTCTACCTTTTTTATCATGAGTTGTATTGACACAAGAGCTCGGGCAGATATTTTAATTTACAATTTTCACCACCCTCCTTCCCTGCTATCCAAAGTGAATTTTAACCGTGAGTGATACAGAAATGAAGTTGATGATTTGTAATCATCAGCAGCTCAGGTTGTAAGGAATCTCCTGCTGGGGTTACACATCAACGCAGACAGGAGCAAAATTGCTTTGTGCTCATAACCTGTGGTAGTTTTAATAATTTTATTTCTGTTTCTTTCCGAATTCTGGGAAACATTAGCCAGATAATGATGCCTTTTGATTACCAAGCTTGTTCTCTCTTTCAGAAAACAGCTTTGGACTGCAAGAATCACCTCACATGGGGTTTCTTTTGTGGGCTGCTTTTGGTTGGTTTTTTATCCACTCTGTTATCTTTGTGCCTGAGTATTCCTGTTTTTCTATCCTACTGCTCTGCTCCAATATGCTCCCAATATTTTTGCTTTTACTGGCTCATTTACCCCATGCAATAAAGGTGCTTGTCATGTCATAAGGTAACTATTTTCCCTAGAAATTGTTGTAAAACTTCGTATCAAACTGGACATTTCTATTGATTTTTGAATTGATATTTTCAGGTCTCTTTCTGCTTTCTTTTTAACAATTGACTTTCAGAACCCCGCATTTCTTGAAAGAAATATTGCTGTAAATTGCAGTGATCTTGACCTGCTCTTTTTCTCCTCTTATCCCTCAGAGCTTTGCTATTCTAATAGCTTTTCTTATGCTCCTTGCAATTAGTTCACAGAAAATTAGAAGAGATAATGGTTAATGAACAACTGCCACTCACTGTCAGTGAAGTGCTGCAAAGGAAAAGGCACTTTCAAAAGTCAGAGAAATGAGAAAATATCACAGAGGCAAACAGCATCCAGAGTTGGGGGGGAAAACTGTGAGGAAACTGAAATTTTCCTTGATCAAGACCCTTTTGAGAATATTTATCTCACATCAGGCCCTGAAGAACTTTCCTGACCCTCCAGACATGCAGTAAAATGACCCCATGGCAGTTTAGGCCAGTGGTATTTTAAAATTATCTTGCACAGGCTTGTCTTGGACCCTTTCAAAGATACATGAAAATTCAATCATGATTATTTAAACCCCTGTAATGTAAAGTCTCAATATTTACACCTTTAAACCCAGTGCCTGCATTGAAGTTGTGGTGAGAGTGCAAATTTTTTCTGATTTTCACCTGCAGAGAAATCCACAGTGCCCACCTCATTAGGATGAGGATTTTCCTTGCAGGGTTTTGGCTTTCATTTCTCCTGGATGAGAGCAAAAATCCCAGCGTGGTTTGGGTTGGAAGGGACCTTAAACTCATTTAGTCATGGGCCTAAATCTCTACAGTACCCAGTGAAATGGGAGAATCTTTTATTCTGCTTTTCTTCTGGATCTAAGCCCAATCACATCGAATTTAAAGTGATTACCTTCAGAGTAAGATCCCATCCAGATAAACCACTCCAGCAGGATATTTCCATCCCTGATTTCCCTAACCAAGCTTAGTCACAAACATCCCCAGATGTGGTTCAGAATGTTGTCTGTCTTCATCCAGGAAGAAGATCAATTCTGTTGTGGAAACAGTGCACAGCATGGGATCACTCTAATCAATCTGAGCAGGCCTTGGTAAAACTATCTGCTAGTCTGCAATCCAGCAGCATCAAAGCTAATTAATACTTTAGTCAGCTTAATGAATGTATTAGTGGTTAATATTTGTGTGTAAGCTCCTCATAACTCAATAATCCTATCTCATTTGCATTATTAATAGGACAGGTATGAGCTGATTGATCATAAAAGCCATTAACTCAGATTTGTGCTGCCTTCAGTTCCCTCCAAGGAAGGGCAGGAATCCCTGAGGATTGCAGGGTCTGCAAAGGCCTTTTCACACTCCAGGTGAGTGGGGCTGAAGAACTGCAATGGGAAGTTGCATTTTAAACCAACATGAACTGATCTAGAAGGCGATGGATGTCTGAGCCCAAGGGCTGAGTGCCCTGGGTTTTGAGATACCCAAATTCTTTCAGGTCAAAGCCCCTCTGCAAGGCAAGAGAAACAGCAGGAAAAAAAGAGAAAGAGAGAGAGGTACAATCCACTCCACAATACAATTTCCCTTCACTTCCCTTCCTCTCTTTGCCCCACTCCTCACATAAAAACCATGAAGTGGGAGCTCATTTATTGAAATGAAGCTGGAGGTTGGCTCAGGTGGGAGACGAGTAAATAAACCAAGAGCTCCTAACGCCTGCTGGAGAGGAACAATATTTTGCAATTTCCCTCCTACAGGCTTTGTGTTCTACAAAGAGAAATAAAAACGTGCTTCATCCCCTTCAGCAGCCCTGAAAGCTTCTGCTTATTCACAGCCCCTGACAAGAGAGGCCAGATAATCCTCTGGAAGGGGAGAGCACTGTTCCAACAATGCAGGCAGCGTGCAGGCAGATGAATTCCATTGGAACAACAATAAAAAAAAGAGATGAGGAAAAAGCAGCTCATTCCTTTGGAGACTCATCTTTTTAATGCACCATTTCCACAGGATCTTCTAATTGCTTCTTGTGGGATTGGAGTGTTTTCTCTTGCAGCCTCTCTTTGGAAATTTGTTACATTTCCTGCTACGATGTTCTCCTGCTTTTTTATTTTCGGGTTTGAAGAACTGTTTTCTTATCTTCTTTTTTTTTTTTTTTCTTTCCCTTCCCTGAGATATTTTCCCCATCTCTCCCATTTCCATGCTCATGTTGTTGTTATTATCAGGGAAATTTAAGCTTCTGTGGTGCTGTGAAGCTGAATCCTCTTTTACTGCCACGCTTTCTTATGTGGTGGGACAGCAGCGAGAGCTGCTGGTTAATCACTTCTGAAGTCCTACATGTGGCAGGGAGATGTGCTATGAATTATCCAGCGAGCTGTACCTGCATGATTAATGAGAATCCATTCTCCACTCTGCACTCCAGCGCTCCTCCCGCTGCAATTCCTTTGTTAGAACCGTGTACAAAGGGAATGAGAGGGGAGAGGAGACTGGAGAACCTCAAGGAAAGGAGGTTGTGGCTGAAAAAAGGGGGTGAGAGCAGGCAGCAAAGCCACTGCTCCCAGGGCTGGCCAGATGTTTGCTCATCTGTTCAGGCACAGCTCTTCACTGTCAGCTGCCACACGACAAGTGGCAAAGCTAAAGCTTAATAAGTAATTAAGACAGTCTGCCAGGAAAATGGGAAAAACGAGGGAAACAACGGATTTCACCTCTCCTCGTCTGATTTAACTGGTTAAAAATGTTCCTCAGTTTTGCATAGAGCCCAGAATATCACTCATTATAAATAATGTATTAACCTAATTTCTTCACTTTTACTCTGCGAAATGTTCCTGACTAGATTTATTACTATTCCTTCTCGAATGGTACCTGGAAGCAAATCAGGAGGTATTTTATCTGCTCATGGTAACTCCATCCAAACGGGTTGCGCTGTAAATTGAGAAAGTCTCATACTACCTCCCCAGGTAGTAGTTGAGAAATATTTAGGAAATAGCTTCAGAGAAAATATTTATAGCTAAAATCAGTGTGTTGGGAACATTTTGTGCACCTGAAGCTCACTGATGTGCTTGAGGGGAGTCATTGTGAAGGACTCAGGGCCAACTAAAAATTAAGTATTTCTTAATATGCCATTAAAATGATTGCTATTACTAGATCTGCTTAAATGAGCAGATTCACAGCTTTGTGAGACAGACAATATCACTTCAGGTGCACAAAATATCCAGATATTATTGCACTGCTCCAACGCCAACTGTCCACCTTCAGCTAAACTGGTCTCCAGATTACAGCAAATCTTTCATTTCCCTTGATGCCATTGTCCTCTTGGTGTTAGCTCCAAACTCTCAGGAATTCAAAACAAAGCAGGATGCAGGGCTGGTTTACAAATGTTTGTAGTTCTGGCTTCAGCCACTCCAAAAGCACCGACACAAAAAGCAGATCTTGCTCACCCATTGCAAAATTAGCTTTTACTTTGCAATTAATAATCCACAAACATTTATTCTCTGACTGCTTAGCAATCCTCAAACCAGCAATTTTTTCCTGGTTTAATGACTGAAGGAACTAAACAATATGAATAGATTTCCTTCTTTTTGCTCTCTTGTGCCATTGGGCAGGCATTTGAGAATTATCAGTAGAAGTCTCTGGAGCTGAAGCCCAGGAAGTGCAGGAAAATGAAAGATATCAAATCTATTTTCAGCATGGGATTGTGCATATCCTCTGCCATAATGTACATAACATAACAGAGCCTCTGCTTGCACTGTCTGCTACAGGATACACTCAGACTCTCACTCTATTTATTAAAGATCAATTTTTGTGATATCATTGATCCCCTGCACGCTGGGATTGTCATCCTCACTCAGGAGCAGCTGAAATTCAATCCTTTCTTCTCCATCCCTCTGTGGATTAAACCCTGGGACACACACAATAACACTCTCTGGGAAGATAATGTGCCTCTGGCGTTAGACAAAAAATGACAGTAATGAAGGAATATGTTGTTAAAAATGGTGAAGAATAACAGGCTGATCATTTCCTGCTCTGTGCCCAGGAAGATGCCAGGATAAACAGCCAATCTATTGAAGCGCTCAGAAGACAAAGGATGATAAGAGAAGAAACAGCACGGATGTTCTGAGAACAAATCATATCCAGCTCCCTTCTGCAGATAAGGTGGGTGGGGAAGGAGGGGAGATGTGTGCAGGAGCTGTGCTGGTGGGCTAGAAACACAGAGAAACAGAGAAAAATCAGGATAAATGAGCAGGAGCAGCACATCTTCAATGTGGGGCAATTCTTCAAGCCTACTTAACTGTACAGCTGGAATATCTGCCTGGGACTGAAGGGAATTCTGGGGGGAACGTGGCCAAAATTGCGGACAAAATGGAGCATGAGGAAAGCCTGGCTGGGTGAAGGATGGAGCTAAAGGGAATGGTGAGGGAGGGGAAATATCTTCACATGTGGGGAGTTAAGGATGGGTTTATCTAAGGGGAAATATCTTCACATATGGATAAAGTTCTTTCAGAACCTCCATGGC